CTCTTGGGCTTAGGCAATTCTCTTGCCTCAGCCTCCTGTGTTACCTAATTTTTAATCATCACTGCAACCCTAGTGTTATTTCCATTTTATAGATGGGAATACTGGAGAGAATAGTAATTGGTCAAAGATCAGTGACAAAGCCAAACCCTCTTCCATTTGTGTCTCTCTCAAAATAGAGAGTCAAAGAATGTGATTGCAGCTGAGCAGGTAACAGGAGCTGGTGCTCCTATTATTGAGTTCCTAAACAAGCTCCTGGGAAGAAGGCTTGTCTGCACAATTGGAAGCACGCATCTCTCTGGACTCTTGTTGGCAGGTTCTGATTGGAACTGACTCCATCACAAACCTGCATAAGCTGGAGCAGGTGTCCAGCGATGAGGGCATTGGGACCCTGGCAGAGAACCTGCTGGAGGCACTGCGGGAACACCCTGATGTAAACAAGAAGATCGACGCAGCCCGCAGGGAGACACGGGCTGAGAAAAAGCGCATGGCCATGGCCATGAGGCAGAAGGCTCTAGGCACCCTGGGCATGACGGTAAAGACACTACTCTGAGTCCCCACGTTCTTGCCCACAGTGTTGGGAGGATGGCCGTGGGATTGCCCTGTCCTTCGGGACAGACCTGAGTTGAGAATGGTGAAGGTGGATAGAGCAGGAGGGAGGAAATAGGTGTGCTAGGCATCCCCAGAGGTGGGATTGTTATAGTCCTGCTATACAGATGAGACTCTGGGGATAATGACTTAGCAAGTTCACAAAAGCAGTAAAAATGGTGATAATAGCTGTTGTTTATAAGGGATTTACTATATGCAGGGCACTAAGCATCTAAGCATTTTATTTAAGCCTTCAAGTAGTTCTATGAAATTGATGTAATTATACTCACTTTCCAGATGAAGTAGCTAAAACTGAGGCAAATAGTCCAAGGCACTTAACAAATTAGCAGGGGATGGAGGGCAGCATTTTGAACCCAGGTCTGTTTGACACAAAGGTCTCTGTGTTCCTTTCACTGTTCCACCGGGGAGGAAGCGGTAGGTCTACACAGTCCTTCTCTGTACCAATAAACTTGAGTGTCAGTAGTTTTAAAACTCACATGGGAACAGTAAATGAATCATAATACAACAGCCTTATCAGCTGAGACTTGGTATTGCTGGGCACAAAGAAAGGGGGCTTTTCTGGTGGCAAGTGGCAACTGGCCAGGGTTCCAGCTGGATGATTCCCTCTGCTTCAGTGGCTCCTATAGGAAGAGAAGGATGGCAGAAGAGTCTGGGTCTTTATCCCTCATTAAAAGACAACTGAAGGGCTCTCCTCTTTGCAGAGTCCTTTCAGTGTACATGGAAGGGTGGCCCTGTTCCTGAGCATCCTGAATTAGGGTGGGAGGATGTGGAAATCCCTTCCTGATGTGCCTCCTGGGTTCCCTACAGACTAACGAAAAGGGCCAGGTCGTGACCAAGACAGCACTGCTGAAGCAGATGGAGGAGCTGATCGAGGAGCCGGGTCTTACGTGCTGCATCTGCAGGGAGGGGTACAAGTTCCAGGTAGCGTTCGGGGCCTGCAGTTGCTCCCAAGGGTATGGGCTTCTTTGGCACAGCCTGGCACCTTGTTCTAGGTGCTGTCACTTACTTGAAGGCCCTTTTGTTCTAGAGAGGCCAGGGTCGAGTCAAGCCTTGTGTTTGAAACTGACAAAAGGACCAGCCGTCCTCTCTAAAGACAGGAAGGCAAACTAATCAGACATTCTTCATCATTGTCATTAACAAATGCCACTCATAGGATTCTCTGTCTGTTAGGCCTCATGCTCAGTGCTTTATGTACACTGGGTGATTTCACAAGGGCTGTGTGCAGCCAGTTTGTTGCCCAGTAGACCCAAGTACTGACCATCACCCAGTCTCCTGAGTACTTAATGGTTTGGAGTAGCCCGAGTCTCAAGGCTTTGTCCAGGAAGAGAGACGGCTCCTTCCGTCTGCTTCACCTCCTTCCAAAGCCTGACTTGGGGTTTCTCCTCACCTCTCCTCTCTGTGTTGTCATCTTTGCAGCCCACAAAGGTCCTGGGCATTTATACCTTCACTAAGCGGGTGGCCTTGGAAGAGATGGAGAATAAACCACGGAAACAGCAGGGCTACAGTACCGTGTCCCACTTCAACATCGTGCACTACGACTGTCATTTGGCTGCTGTCAGGTAGGCCCTGGCTCTTGCAGAGTGAGTCTTCCTCTCCCCACATCAGGTAGGCCTTGGCTCTCGGGGAGTGCGGATGAGGCCTTGAGGAGGACTGCCATGGGCCTTCCTCTCCCTGCGTGTGCTTCACCTCTAGGCCTGCGTTCCTTCAGAGGCTCTGGCTCCTCAGTCTCTGGGGAGTAGGGTGTTCTACCCTAAACCAGGCGTCCTCAAACTATGGCCTGCAGGCCACATGCAGCCAGCCTAGGACGTTTATCTGGCCCGCTAGGTTTTTTGCCGCCACTGCCTGTCTGTCCTGCTTAGCAGCCAACTTGTCCCGGGGCCCGCAGTCTGGCCCTCCAACGGTCTGAGGGACAGTGAACTGGCCCCTTGTTTTAAAAGTTTGAGGACCCCTGCCTTAAACCATACAGGTTCATGAGCTATTCTTGCCTATTTGGAAAAAATGCTTTGGCTTTGGCCCGAGGCTTATGAAAGCAATCTTGTTTATCTAACTCAGTGAAGTTAGCTGTGTCGGGGTCACACATGGCTAATTCTCTCCACAGGGTCAGGAGTGTGGGCTAACTTACTTCTTATTGGCAAATGCTTCCCCAGCCCACTCACCCAGGTGTGTGGTTTCCAAATTAATTCCAGCAGCCATTTGTCCCTGGCGTCCTCCCCATCCAGGTTGGCTCGAGGCCGAGAAGAGTGGGAAAGTGCCGCTCTTCAGAACGCCAACACCAAGTGCAATGGGCTCCTTCCAGTCTGGGGACCCCACGTCCCTGAATCAGCTTTTGCCACTTGCTTGGCAAGGTGAGTGTTGAACTTTTTCCGTGGTAGAAAGGGGAGATTCCTAGGAACTGGTAGAGGATCAGCTATCAGCCCAGCTCTGGGTGAGACCATTCCCTGCCACTGTCGCTGAGAATCCAAGTCTCTCTTCTGGCTGACTGGGGAGCTGTCCAGGCACATAAGGGTGGGTACATGGGGTGGCCTGACACATGCAATCAGAATGAGGGAAACTAGCACCCTCAGCTTTTGGGCATTGCAAGAAACTTCTGGTTATTTGCTGCCTTCCCTCCTTTGTTGGTCTTACGACAGATGCAGGACCCCTGACTTCATCCTTGAGGCCAGAATTCCCAGAGTTCACTTCCATGGTGTGTCACTGAGATTTAAATACGGAAAGTGGGTTGGTGGCAGAGGGGATATCAGGCTCCTTTTAAGACCTTCACGGTCCTAAACATCCAGGCTAGAATGGCTGAAGCTTCTTTGAGGTCTTGTATAGTGTCCTTGTGGAATAGTACCCTGGCCCAGGTCCTTCTTTAAAGCTCAGGCATAAGATGTACCTGCCATGAAACAGGCACCTGGCAGTAATGCGCAGCAGGCTGAGGTGCTTACCACGTGCTGTTACGCACACTGCAGATGGAGAAATTAAGGGGCCAGGAGGTAGGCAACTTACTCAGGACCACCCTGAGGTAGTAAGAAGCAGAGCCCAGATAGATGGGAATGTGTACTGATATAGGAAAAAACCTTTTATTTAGAGGTTGAGGAGTCAGTCAGAATGGATAAAACTTACTCCAAATGTGGCCATGCTATGTCCTGTGACATTTGTCCATCAAGAAATGGGGTCCTAAGAGTGGTGGGTTCTCATGAGAACTTGGAGAACTTCCCACTGTTACAGCAAAAATGAAAGTATCTTAAGTCTTGTCTTTCTGCTGGTCCAGCTGTTGTCCTCACTTTCCCTTTCATCCTCCCTATTGGTTAACCTTTGCAGCTACCGGTGTAGTGGAGGGTGGAGTGAGCCTCTGTCTTCCAAACTGGATTTTCAGCAGGAGATGCACTCCGCTTCCATGTTTGTTCTGCTCCCCCCAGGCACAACACTTACCTCCAGGAGTGCACGGGCCAGCGGGAGCCCACGTACCAGCTCAACATCCACGACATCAAGCTGCTGTTCCTGCGCTTCGCTATGGAGCAGTCGTTCAGTGCAGACACCGGTGGGGGCGGCCGGGAGAGCAACATCCACCTGATCCCGTACATCATTCACACTGTGCTTTACGTCCTGAACACGTCAGTATCCTGTGTGTGGGTGGCATCTGGGCTGACCATCCTGCATCCCTCTGCACAGCATGATCCCCCCCATTGGTCCATATCCTCCCGTTAGTTCCAGAGCAAATATCTGACCCGAAGCAGCCTTTTTAATGAGGCAGGGGTGTTCATTGCAGCTTTCTGGGATCATGTAAAATAAAACTATCAGGGCAGCTTCCTTTCTAAAACTGTCCTGTCTCTCCCCATGGGCAGTCAAGGGATGTGTCCTTGGGCTGACCTTCGGTTCACGAGGAATCAGGAAATGGAAGAAGCCAGACCATGGAAGCCTCTATCTATTTCTGTGTAGCCACCACTTCTACCTTCTAGGCTACTTTCTTTCATGGGAAGAGGCCATGGGTCAGAGCCACACCACAGTCATTAGTGAAGGGTATGCAGGTTGTTACAGGTGAGGGCTTCCCATGGAGGGGACATAGCAGAGCTGAAGACCCATCTCATAAATGGGAAACTGGATTTGTTATCCCTGTTTTCTCTCCAGCAAGTAATGCTTCTGGCAAGTGTGAGGGGAAAGGGAGGCAGGGAGGCCTGAGGATTATGTGGGAAAGTCAAGGGAGAGGAAGGGAGCCAGGCAGAAAGAAGATGTGTATTTTTGTCCACATGCTTGTTATGGAAAAGCTCCATGGAGAGGAGCCGTTTCTCAGCTACAGACTGCTTCCCTCCCTGGCCGTTTGGCATCAGTGGTCATAGGGAGGCTGGGTGCCTTTAGTGAAGCATTTGTATATAAAGGCAGGTATGTCACACCATGGCCACCTGAGCCAGAGTGGAGCCTGAGCTGAGGCTGGGAGATGAAGCTGCGTGTCCCCACTGGTTGGATCCATGCTCATTTCACAGGGAGTGTAAGGAGGCACGGTATCCTTTCACACTCCCCTGCTACTTTCCCAGCGTCAGTGTCTGTGGCAGTGCCCCTGCAGACCTGGGAATGCAGATTCTAGCAGTGGCTAGTGGTTGGTGTGTTTTTTGTTCCCCATAGAGTTTGGGTAGAGCATTAAGCATTTGTGGCATAAGAGCACCATCCAGGGCTTGGCGCCTGTGGCTCAAGTGGCAAAGGCGCTGGCCATATACACCTAAGGTGGCAGGTTCGAATCCACCATCCAGGTTATGAGGAGAATGTGTTCCCAGAAGTGTAGCGGCAGGGACTTGAGTCATCCTCAGTGCTGCTCCAGGGATCCCTTGTCGAGGGAGGAAGATGGAGTCGATGGACTCTGGAACCAGAACTCCTGGGTTCAAAGCCCAGTTCTTGCCCCAGTATGGCTTTGGGCAGAAGCCTCACCTTCTCTATACTGCAGTTTTCCTTTTCTGTAAAATTGGGACAGTGGTAACATCAGTCTTGTAAACTTCCTGTAAGGATTAAGATAATCCAAGAAAAAGACTCAGCTGTGCTGTGACCATAAAGACCATTGCAGTTTAGTCAAGAGCAAGAGAAGCTGCACTCGCCTGGGAGACCCTGTGTCTCAGGTCCTAAGAAAGTAAACCAGACGGACTGCACCACAGGCCTGGGAAAGGGACCAGGTGCAAATTTAATGCAAACCACTTAAATATAGTAAGACTGGTGGACCCAGGTCCCAGACTCTAGATCAGTGGTTCTCAACTTTCCTAATGCCACGGCCCTTTAATACAGTGCCTGTGGGTCGCGACTCACAGGTTGAGAACTGCCGCTCTAGATTCTTATTTTGACTTGGTGACTTAGCTTGGTGACTGAATAAATCACTTCACTTCTTTCGGCTTCCTGAACTGTGGGGCAGTTCCATGTGGGGAGTTTGAATGTGCCTGACACGAGGTCCTTGGGGCCTGGTGGTAGTATAGTAGTTGTTTGGGTTAGTGTCAGAGCTGGTGGGGGTGGGAGGGTGGGGTGAGGGCAGGGGCAGGGGGTTGAGGAAAATGCCACAAGAAGGACCTGGGAGGGGAGACCACCTGGACTGCCAAAAAGGGGGTGAGTGGAGCAGTTGGCGGGGCGGGGGCGGGGGGGTGGTGTTCAGTGGTCCAGAGTTCAACACGGCTGATGAGGAGACAGGAAGCTGAGCAAACCCTCTCCACCTTACTGCTGTGCCTGGCTGTCCCCCTGCTTCCATCGTGCTCCTTTTTTTCCAGAACCCGAGCAACTTCCCGAGAAGAGAAGAACCTCCAAGGCTTCCTGGAACAGCCCAAGGAGAAGTGGGTAGAGAGTGCCTTTGAAGTGGACGGGCCCCACTATTTCACAGTCCTGGCCCTCCACATCCTGCCCCCTGAGCAGTGGAGAGCCATGCGCGTGGAAATCTTGCGGAGGCTGCTGGTGACCTCGCAGGCCCGGGCCGTGGCTCCTGGAGGAGCCACCAGGTCAGTACCTGCCTCAGGAAGCGTCGCCTGGAATGTGTCTTCCCAGTGTCCGAGGTGGACTTGGCAGTTGATGCCAGTGCTTCTCAGTCTATAGGGGCCAGAGTCTGGGCCAAAGACTGGCAATTGTCTGGTTACCTCTGGGTTTTGTGTTCAGACACTAAAAAGGTGGAGCTGGGCTTAAATTCAAAGAGGAAGGCAGCCAGGCACAGAGCAGTCCAATCAGTGAGAAGATGAAGGTCGGCAGGGGTGAGACCCATAACCAGGTTTTTAAAATCTTACTGCTTTTGGCTTAAACTGGGAAAGTTTCAGCATGGCTGTTGCTGGATATTTTCTTTTCTAATAATTAAAGGCCCATCCTTCTTGCTTTTTGGTTATATATCTATTCCTGTCCCATCTGCCCATATGCCATGAGCCTCTGTCCTTGCAGCCCTGCTCTTCTGTTCATGTGGACACCTCCCAAAGAAAGAGCAGTGAGTCAGGAAGGAGTGGTCTTTGTTTTGTGACCCTGCAGTTTAGGGCAGAAGGGAGGCGTTGTAGAGAAACAACCACAAACCACCAGCAGCTGGGTCCCACATCAACTGCTGGACACAGAGGGGTCTCCATGGCACCACTTTGGCTGACAGTGGCCCTGTACAGTCTGCTCACCCTAGGGAGCTACAGAATAGGTTCTGGGTTTGGCAGCTTGCTTCTGTCCTTCAAAGATCTGTCCCTATGATTCTGCTTTAGTCCAGGATCCAAGGGATCATTTCTACATTTGTGGGCCAACAAGGGGGCAGAAGGGAAACCTTTGGGGCCATGGTAATGACAAGCCAGGTGGAAGCAGCGTGTGCCTGAATTGGCACACCCAGTGGCTGTACTCCATCTGCTATGATGGATCTAGTGGTGCTGGCCTGTAGATGCCTTGCCCCCCCCAGAGAGACCAGGGTGGAGCTCTAAGGTTGGATCTGGCCAGTAGCAGCTTGTTTATGTGTGGGGAGTCCTATTAGATTCCTGTGTAACCCCTGCCCCATTCCAAACATAGCACTTTGCAGTGTTTCCCAAGCACCTGCAGCGGTAATAGTTAAGTAGGTGCTAGAAATCAAGAGTTAGATCTCGAGGCTACTAAGCTGTTGATAAGTCAGACCAGCTTATGTCCATAACAAACAAAGCGACCATTTATTGGGTACAGGCTTTTCATGGCAGGTGTGAAATCTGAGCTCACAGGAGCTATTTTGCTTTCAATTAGGAGTCTAGAATTTATTACTGTCCCAGGCAGTTAAGGAAAAGCTGATTTGGTCACAGCTCAATTAGGAAATCCAGTGTGAGTTACATTCGTGAGCTCTCATTTTCTCTGTAACAGTTTAGTCACCTTTACTAATTAACCTTAAATAATTAACTTGGGCAAGGTCACTCAAGATTTCTGCTTATTAAAGCAGAACAGCCACAGAGAAAGACTAACCCTGGTCCTAGTCTGGGGCTCTGAGCCTGGTGCTCTCAAAACAGACTAGAAGAGGCACTGAGGGCTTGTGGGGCATCAGGCCACCCATGCAGGAGAGCCCATGACTGGGAGGGCAATTACAGTCATCATCTTAGTATTGGGACAGTGTCATTGGCTGCAGCCTTTGTCCTAGGTCCTTTACACCATGGGTTGGGGACAGTAACAGGTGCACAGGAAGCTCAAGAGAAGCTGGCCTCTTCTGCGTGGTTTACACTCAAGAAAAACTTTCTCTGCCAGGAACTTGGCAGTATAGAAGCCTGGGATATCCTTGGGCATCCATCAGGATTTGTTTGTTATCTGCCAGGATGTGGGGTTGCAGAGGGTGGGTCGTTGTCCTTGTCTGTGGGCTCACCTTATAGTGTTTTAGTCTGTAGTATCTCTTGTGTATGGGTATGAAGGTCAGGAAATGAGGGTTTGGGCAGATAATTGGGATGGAGGGAGGCTACAGGAAGCAGGTTTTAGTAAATAAGGTATTGTCTCGTTTTATTATTTTGCTTTGCTTTCTGTGAATTAAGCATTTACTGAATGTGGATGGTCTGTCTCATGGTAACTTAAGGCCCATATAGTTTTAGCTTCTACAGAACATAACATCTGTGCTTGTCTTGTTTTTATGATTCTTATATGCATGCATTTTAATTCTCAACTAATTGTTTAGTACCTATCCTGTTAGTAATGGGATCTGTTCTCTTGTGTTCCAAGGTATAGAATACTCCATACAGGAGCTCATCTGGACTTT